ACGTTGAGCGGTGAACGACGCTGATTTGTTTTCTGTTTCACTGAATCATCTGTCAACGGAAGAAACTGCGAATCCATGGAGGTGTGAACGTTTGTTCAGGAAGAGTGACGCCTGAGGCAATTTACGTTCAAAGGAGCCGTCAGGTACGCTCGGCAGTCGGTTACAAGCGCAACTCTGACTCACGGTAGGTCATCCAAAGAGAATAGCCATCATCATTAACTTGTTCAGTCGCAGTTATCATTCTTGCCCTGAAGGCTGTCATGACTTAGACAGACAGTTCGCAAACGAAATACGGAACAACCGTGGAGACATGTGTCACGTGACGACAGCAGTCGCAGTCATACGTGCAACGGTTCGACTGCAGAGATGATTGGTGGACCCCTTCGGCACAAGCAAGCACACGCAGCAGCGTTTGTGAAGCATATTTCATTGAACCGCAAGCAGTTCGAACTTTCGCCGTAGTGCACTCTGCCCGAACACCGAAGACCCGGAAAGACATGTTTTCATTTCGACGATTTCTGTGCCTACTGTCGTTCTTCGGCCTAACAGACCCCGTTTACGGTTGACGACGCAGTGTCTGTGTCAGTGCCGCAAATGGCTAATGCTATTTCTCATAGGTGCGGAAACGAAAACTTCACCGTCGTCGAAAGGAGCTGATTCCATCATCCGGCCGACCAACGTCAGCGTAACGACGATGTGGCACCGAGGGACGAAATGCGGTCGTCGGTCTCATGGGTCACGCTGCAACGAGACGTCGGGACGTTTCCCTCGGTCAAGCGCGGAACAATATATGGACAACGACGAAGCGCCTTCGAATTATACAAGTGACGTTAAGCGCGGGAGCTGGCTCAACGAAACCCTGGCGATGAAGTCGACGTCCTTGCCGACTGTTCGGATTGCTGCCTATTTTGGCAGCGGACAAGAACCTTTCCTCGAAACAGGCAACAGCGGCACCGCACAAGCCACCGAGACAAAGTCTTCCGTCGGTTCATGACTGTGCGGTCCGATTCGTAGAAATCAACCGCACTCACTGTGACAGATGTTTCGCTGCTTTGTGTGATGCACCATTGCCCTTGGTGCTGTTCCGCATTAAACCTTATGTCGGATGTTGAGTGGTTTGATGGCGACCAGACTGCCCAACCACACAGTTTGTGCCTTGTGGAACAAAGCTGATTGACAGACGACTAGAATGGCGAAGCAGAGCTCAAAAAGAAGCTGACTGGGGCCAAAATAAATTAAACAAATAAATAAGACATGATCATGCAGTGGATTTGTATCTACATCTGTCCGTGTAGCCAACACCGATCAGTCTTAGATTAATAAGCGCTACTGTAGTGAAGTGCGTGTATTTTATTCCAGGCACACGTACGAATTGGCGAACAGATGAAATTTGTTCACTCCAATTCAGGGACACAGTTTATGCATTCGATACACTGCATATGCTAAATGCCACTAAACCGTTGTCCGCCTAACTTCCCCTTCCCAACCCCCACGCCTATGTGTCTAAAAGTAAAGAAAGATGCAGCTTTGCCGTGTAAAGCGGTGTTAGAATTTGCAATCGGTCCCACACTACGCCAGTACCAATGTAACCAAGGTCGGTTGGTCTTAAACAAAGGTACTTTTCATATAAGCATTCACCCATTCGTCCGTTAAGGTTTTGCACACCTGTTTCCACATCTATGCCATCATCCGTAGGGATATGCTACCTCTCCTGCGAAGTTTGGCGTCTTGGTGCTTAAGCGGAACCACCAAAGGACGTCACTTTTAAACAGATTCAAAACGTGCCTTAAACGAGCAAACAAAATTAAAAACAGGACATATGCGAAACATGACGTTAGCAAAACTATCATAGTCAAGACAGTTACAGTTAAACAAGGAAGTGTAGCATACTCATCGCAACCTAGATGCACCTCTTAAAATAATATATATTTAGCATATAGAAACGAAATATAAATAGCAAATACAGTGGAGCGAGAGCAGAAATAGTGTAAAGAACGGAGCGAGGAAAGCGTATTAATTATTGCAATCCATATATCCTGAGGTATGGTCATCCTCAGTTATCAGGGTCTCTGAAAACACCTGCCGATGGTGGGACCTGCGACTTAGCTCAGTGATAACTCTCTGATATGCAGAAACCAAGTAGAGGGCAGCCGTAATCAGCATAGTCTTTTATCTTCACTATAAGATGAGTGCCTCTGCTGAGGATATTATCACCCGAGGAGATACTGTCAAAAACAGTTCGATCAACTAGACTGCACTTTAACTCACAACAGCTGCCTAACAATCTCTGCGTACCGAAAGTTTCTTCTCTCTGCCTCGCTAATTTCCTGTGGTACACTGACAACTGCAGACTTGAATTACCCAGGTTTCGAATATGCAGATGACAGTACAGTCCCATGGTTGCAGTTGTCAGAAACCACGAAGACCTCAAAGACTATAGCAGCGAAATGAAGAAACTTTTACATTTGTCGAACTCATGGATTTATCCTGACCCTGAGCAAGTTTGTCGCTTGTGTCAATTCCTCGAAACACGCGCCAGCACTAGCTTTCAACATAGCTAGAGCAGAAACTAGTATATTCTAAACGCCGTTCATTCGGGTTAAAACGCGAAATATGCTGGTGAGGTCGCCAATGACAGGTTGGCATGGTCTGATTGCATAGTTAGCATCATCAGCAACATAAGGAAAGCCGTTGATACTTGCTTGGAGCCTCTTTTGATTTGCACTGGCGATTTACAAGGCGCTGTAAGAGGCCAATTATCACTTTCGTTTCTTCACTCAAGGCTGGAGCCTAAATAGGGTGTGCTTTTGCACCCCTGCGGCGATGTATTAAGGTAGTTGGGATATCTGAATAATTGCTAAACGGCCTTGTTACTAACAAGA